CATTTAAACAAAATAAAAAAGTGAAAATACAAACAAAAAAAATCCCCACCCCCCTTCAGAATTTCAAAAAATAAAAGACTTGGTCATATGCAACATTTGTATCTGTATTCTGTACAATACATAAACAGTTTGTGATTTCTCATAATTCTTTGATGACTGAAAACTTTTACAGAAGAAAGGAGAATAAACCAAACCCTGTCTTTTTTTTTCTTCCTTTAAAGTACAGTCAGTTGTAATATGAGCTTTTGTCTTTGTTTTCGGTGAAGTACACAGTAACCGTAGTCACTACAACTCGCAGGAATGTTACACCAGCCCAGTCACAACTCCAGTTTAGCAGATACAAACAGGAAAAGAGTTCAGAACATTGGCATGGTATGGGTCAAGTTCAACTGCCTGAATGATATGGATTTCACTGGATGATTGTTAGTGAGGGCATATATATAATACATCCTTCACTTGATTGGCAGGTCTGCGGCGTCTCTGTGGAAGAAAGTTTATATTCTGAACACCAAAGTCGAAGATTCTGCTCTAACTTTTGGAGGTGAAACTATCATCCAAGTCTTAGAGTTTGACAGTGAGACAGACATACAGAGAGACACAGCTCTATTAGCCAGGGCCCGAGGCCCTCCTCATGTAGAGGCAGGATTAGAGACTATCCTCTAGGAAATGCTAGGAGTCTGTATTGAGGATCTTGCAGGGCTACAATCAGTCCAAGATTCCAAACAAAATAACAATTATGTTAGAATTACAGAATCCCTCCCTGTTTCAAGTTGGATTTTCCTGTTTGATGCTCACAAATGTCTTTTCGGTCTGCACCAGTTATGACAATACATTCTCTCCTTCCTCATATTTGACCAGTGATATCTCAGTTCTATTGTCACAAATTATTGTTCATGTCACACAGTGTATCAATCCAGGGATGGGCCAGCTCCGTCTGTCAGTCAACAACACACAATGTCTTCATTGGGACTTTAAAAGTGTGAAAATGGGTTCAGGAGGGGCAGAGGTCTTAGTTGGCTCTATAGACTGGTAACCAGGTGAGAAGGGTCCACTGGGGGTTCCTCAGGTGACGAGTCAGACTCTTCTTTGCTCCCAGACACCATATATCCGTCACTGCCCCCTCGACCCATGTGGTAGTAGTTCTGCAGCTCGTGGAGGTGATTCCTGGAGCCCAGGTTTGGCATGCTCTTATAATAGACATCATCCAGCTCGGGAGCGGTGGCACTCTTGCAGGGCTGGAGCTCCCCGGAGCTTTCTTCCTCGCCATCTGTTAATCCGTTCATTTGCCCGTCGGGGAGGTCCGTCAGCACCGGCATGCTCGTGTAGAGCGAGTCTCTGTGGTTTGGCGAGTGCGTGTGCTCGTCGGTGTGTTCGTTGGTCAGCAGGGGGAAGAAGCTCTCGCTGGGCTCCTGTGCGATGCGCCGCTGCCTGGAGAAGCTATGAGGAGGTGGCGGCGGTGGGGGGTGGCTGTCCGGCGGCGGAGGCCTCGGCGGAAGGAGAGGCGCATTGGACTCCTCTCGGATGATCTCCAAACCGAGGTTCTCTTCGTGGGGGAAGGCCGCAGGGTTGTCCAGCACCATGGGATTGTTGTCCTCTTTACCGCTGCCCACACAGCCACCGATTGCACTGCTGCTGCTGCTGCCCCCAGCCAGGCTCCCTGAAAACAACAGGCAGAAATATCATAACACAACACATTAGAAATGACTTTTAATTTATTTAGAGAGAGAAGCAGCGCTGCTGTTACTACACTGTTAATGATTATAGCACCCTAAAGAGAAGAAGTAGCTTTAATTAAAAATTCCAGTCAAATTTTGATGTGTAAAGCAAAATGTGTTGCTGGAAGAAAACTGCAAAAACAGGTTCATCACTTGAGTAAGCTCAAAAACACCCATTTGGGATGGTTTATTTATTGCTTTATATGATCGGTGAAGTCAAAGTCTAAACACTTCAGTTTGTTGCTCATGTATAACTAAAACACAAGCGTATTAATGCAACATTCACTAAAAATCCAAAATAAATGCTGAATTAAAAGTAATAATAATAATAACTAGACATGGGTTTTAACGATGTATAAACAAGTGTGCATTGTCATGTAGCATGTCATTGCAGCATGGCTTTGCCTGCAGCATTGGACTTGCAGAATGAACTTTGACCAAGTTCAAATGTGTTTTCAATACCAGCTTGTGCCTGTCACGCCTGCAGGTGTTTGTAATTAAAGCAATTGTGTGACAATATGAAGTTTGCAGAGATTTTTGTTAAAGTAGCAGTAGCTGCACTGTAAAAAAATTAAATGTTGGATTTACTTAACCATGTTATGTGACCTGGTTCCACTTAACTGAGTTGAGTAAATTCAAAGCAATATACCAGTTTTTTTAGCCAAAGAACATGAGCATGTTGCTTTGAATTTACTCAACTCAGTTAAGTGGAACCAGGTCACATAACATGGTTAAGTAAATCCAACATTTAATTTTTAGAGTGTGGATTTGAACCCTGATCTCCCACATGAAAGCTCACAGTGCTCATCATGAGACTATAGAAGATGTGGCAGAGGACAATCCTAGGGATTGGATTGTATGTATACAGAAAAAGTTTACCTTGCCAATGCAATTATTGACACTTAAGTGCAATATTTTACAGCAACAGGACAACATAAAGACAGTATTACAGTAAAACATCAAAAAACAATCATATTAATATTGTAATCACTGAACTACTGAGTTTAAATATTATGAAACTATGGTGCAGTAACATATTGTGTAGATCAGAGCAGCCCAAAGTGGGGCCCGCGGGCCAAATTTGGCCCRCCAAGCCATTTGATTTGGCCCACCAACAGTTGCCAAAGTTACAAGGTTGTAACCAGTTATCCTATGTAGAAACACAGTATTTCCATTTGTCAAATGACTATATAAAGGGCTGTAGTGAACGTAGTTTTCAGTCATGGTGCTGACATATCTTTGATTTATTAGGATTAAACATGAAACATGAAATGACAAAAAGAAATATTTAGATCAGATTTAACCCCGCATGTAGATTTGCACACTTTATAAGGACACCGAAACTCATATTTTATCAATTTATGATATGTCCCATGAGCCTTTGCTACTTGTGCGAATGGCAGACTTTCTCCAAGTGCACAGACTAAAACAAAAGAGGGCCATTGCATAGCTTAATGGTTAAAAATAAAGGACTTTACTTTAAAAAGTATTTGTATTTCATGTATTATATAACTGCATTTGGCCTGCAGCCATGGATAGATTTTCAGTTTGGCCCCCTCGGGGAAAATGTTTGGGCACCCCTGGTGTAGATGCAGCAGGGGGCAGTATTGGACCAATACAAGGCTCCATTGACTGCCATTATAATTTATTAAACATCAATATTTAAAAAACTATAAGTTTTACAGGCACCAAAAGGCATAGCCATCATTTGGCAAAGGGGCTTTATAGATATAAATTATAATGGCAGCTCTAGGACAAAGTATGCAGGAGGAGAAGCATGGCAAATTTGAGATGACTTGGATGGGAAACGAATCACAATAGTGTGCATTGAATTGACAATGCACACTGATAAGGTTGTAAAATCTGATCTTTTGCAGAGAAGGGAAACAATCTGTGATGTCCTCAGCTGTTAATGTTTGAATCCAAATAAGAGTTAGAAACCCAACTTTATAAACTGTGGTTTTTATCTTGATGTTTTTGTTTTTAAACTAGTTAAATTACTGCAGTGATTCAACCAATTAGCTCTGCATTTATTTTCAACCTCAGCATCATGTTTAGGTACAGAAAAAAACAAACAAACAAACAAACAAATGCGAATTTATACACAATGCCTGAGCAGAACATGAGGAAAAGTCAATAAAGTACTGACAATGGTTCCCAGTTAACAGTGAAGTTTATTAATATGTTGATTAATACTGAGACCATCTCACTCTTATGGTCATTTATTGTTATTATTATTATTATTATTAGCAAACCAAGCTTGTTAATTGGGGAGGATATGGCGTAAACCGTCAAACAGCAAAGTAGAATTTGTTAACTGGTGGCTTCACAGAAAAATGTAAAAAAAGAAAGAAAGAAAAGCCTTAGCTTTTTGCCACATTCAACCACCTGGAAAAAAAAAGTTTGGTCCGACAGGCTATGTGTCAAACACAAACTTAGATAAAATCTAAAACTGAAAATTTCCTTTTCACCCACTGCTTTTAAACCCATTTCTTGCATGCAGTGCGCTGAACTGAGCACAGCTTGCTGCTGCAGAGTGCAAGACAGTACCTCAGCGCATCTAATCAGAAAGACTCACCCACTGCCTCCTGCGTGAGTGTGTGTCACACACCTCGGCACATGCAGTCAGAAGGAAACATACACCCAAACTCTGGAGTATTTTTTCTTTTTAAATACTAGACCCCTACACTTTTCAGAAACACAATTTGTTTAGCTTGTTGCAGTTTTCTAAACGGATTAACATATTTCTTACTATGCAGATTTTTATAGTGTGTATATGTGCTGATGGTGCTAAGACTGCAAATGTATCAATCTGGTGAGAGTTGAGTAAACTTTTAGACTGAATACATGTGTTTATCAGGTGGACTGGAACATTCACTGCCTCAGCTCGGTTGGCTTATACACAGTCTAGCTATGGTTAAAAAACAAATATTTGTGTAGTGACATGGGTGTTGTTTGGTTAGAAAAAAACAGCAACAAACTAAATATCTAGAGTTGTAAACAATGTAGAGGTTTATTAGCTAATTTAGCTTTCATCGTTGAGAAAGAATTATTTTGAGGGGTGGCTGTAGCTGAGTGGTTAGCGGTGTTATCCTGTAAGTGGTGGGTTGCTGGTTCAAACCCATGCTCCGTCCATCTCAGCTGTTGTATACACTGAAAAAACAAACTTTTGGGTGTAGTAACATTTATTTGATTATTCTTTTAAATTTTACAAAAAAATATCAAAATCTCTAAACTAATAGTATTGTAATAATATTGTGCTTAACACATGTGCACTGTTATAAAGAACTTTTAAGATTTACTTGAAAAAATCAATTTGCACTAACGTTTGTTAAGTAAATTTAAATGCTACAAATTCATGTAATATTTACTCATCATTATCTAGTAAAAGTTATTAAGAATATAGTTAAATATTTATAAAAAAAATCAGGTTAAGTTTACATAATTTGCTCAATTAAATCTTGTAACATATACT